CTGGAGGGATGGATGGAGGTAGGAGTGGATGGGATGAGGGGAGAGAGGGATGGAGGGAATATGGGGGGTGGAGAGATGGAGGGAGGTGTGGATGGGGTATGGAGGGATGGAGGGATGGAGGGGATGGGGGATATGAAGGGTTGGAGGGATGGAGTGGCTGGGGACAGGAGGGGACAGCCAATGATGGGGACAGCTGGGATGGGGTAAACTGGGATGGGGACTGTGGGAACAGCAGGGACAGACTGGGATGGGGACAGACTGGGAGCTGAGCTGGGAGCTGAGCTGGGCACATGGGGCCAGGCTGGGAGCTGAGCTGGGCACACGGGGCCAGGCTGGGAGCTGAGCTGGGGACAGGGGGCGAGGCTGCAGTTGGGGTGTCCCAGACTGGGCACGCGTGGCCAGTGGTGGCTCTCCAGGCCCACCCACGTCCATGTCCGTGTCCCCTCCTCGTGTCCCCTCCCTGTGTCCCCGTGCCCTGAGCAGGCGAGGACAAGGACTACACCATCTGGCTGGCCCACTCCAGTGACCCCAGTGCCCCCAGTGACGGCTGTGTGCTGGGCTACAAGGAGCAGTTCCGGCGCCTGCGCAAGGCCTCGCTGTGCCGCAACGGCCGCGCCTTCACCGCCAGCCCCCAGCGCTCCGTCTGCCCCTGCACCCTGCAGGACTTCCTGTGGTATGGAGACATCCCAAACCATCCCAACACAGCCCAAAACCATCCCAGCACAGCCCCAGCCCACCCCATCCCACCCCAGCACAGCCCCCAGTGCTCTGTGTGCCCCTGCACCCTGCAGGACTTCCTGTGGTATGGAGACTGAACATCCCATCCCATCCCATCCCATCCCATCCCATCCCATCCCATCCCAGTCCTAGTTCCCATGCCTATTCCCATCCCACACCTCCATCCCACGAGATCTCACCTGTTCCCACCTCACTGGGATTTCAGGTACTACCACCATGAGAACCAATCCCCATTCCATCCCACCCCATGGGATACCATCCCATTCCCTAACCCATCCCATCCCCATCCCTTGGGATCCCACCCCATCCCGTGGGATCCCACCTCCTATTCCCTGTTCCCAGTGATTTCGGGTACTACTGCCTGGAGAATCCATCCCCATTCCCATTCCCGTGAGATCCCACATCCATTCCCATCGGATCCCATCCCATCCTCATTCCCATCCCCTCCCCATTTCCATGGGATCCCACCTCCTATTCCCTGTTCCCAGTGATTTTGGGTACTACCACCCAGAGAACCAATCCCCGTTCCCATGGGATACCATTCCATCCCTGTTCCCAGTGATTTTGGGTATGAACTCTTGGAGACCCAATCCCCATTTCCATGGGATCTCATTCCCATTCCCATGGGATGCCATCCCATCCCTGTTCCCAGTGATTTTGGGTACTACTGCCTGGAGAATCCATCCCCATTCCAATGGGATGCCATCCCCATTCCCATGGGATCCTGTCCCATCCCTGTTCCCAGTGATTTTGGGTACTACTGCCTGGAGAATCCATCCCCTTTCCCATTCCCGTGAGATCCCACATCCATTCCCATCGGATCCCATCCCATCCTCATTCCCATCCCCTCCCCATTTCCATGGGATCCCACCTCCTATTCCCTGTTCCCAGTGATTTTGGGTATGAACTCTTGGAGACCCAATCCCCATTTCCATGGGATCTCATTCCCATTCCCATGGGATGCCATCCCATCCCTGTTCCCACTGATTTCGGGTACTAAACCAATTCCCATGCCCATTCCCATGGGATCCCATCCCTTTTCCCAGTGATTTCGGGTACTGCTGCCTGGAGAACCAATCCCCATTCTTATGGGATGCCATGCCCATTCCCATGGGATCCCATCCCTGTTCCCAGTGATTTTGAGTACTACTGCCTGGAGAACCAGTTCCCATTCCTATGGGATGCCATCCCCATTCCCATGGGATCCTGTCCCATCCCTGTTCCCAATGATTTTGGGTACTACTGCCTGGAGAACCAATTCCCATTCTGGTCCCATCCCCATTCCCATCCCATCGGATCCCATCCTATCCTCATTCTCCAACCCATCCCATCCCCATTCCCATTCCATCCCCATTCCCATCCCATCTCATCCCATGGAATCCCCCCCTCCCATTCCCTGTTCCCAGTGATTTTGGGTACTACCACCCAGAGAACCAACCCCCGTTCCCACCCCCATTCCCATGGGGGATCCCCTTCCCATTCCCCCACGGGAATGCCATCCCTGTTTCCCAGCGATTTCGGGTACTACCGCCCGGAGAACCAATCCGTGTGCGTGGAGCAGCCGGAGCTGAAGGGACACGACCTGGAATTCTGCCTGTACGGCCGCCGGGAGCTGCTCCGGACCAGCGGGTATTCCTGGCAATTCCCAGCCCCCTTTTGGGATCCCCTCTCCTTCCTTTGGGGTCGCTCGCCCACCCACCCACCCCGGCTGTCCCTTCCCCGCTCTCCCCAGGTACCGGAAAATCCCGGGGGATCAATGTTCCGGAGGGGAGAGCCCGAGCCGGGAGGAGAAGGACATGAAGAAGAAATGCACCAGCGACCTCCTCAACCCCGGCCCGCTGGTGGGTGACCCTGGGAGGGGACAGGGACAGCTCGGGGTGTTCCTGGAGAGGCGGGAATTCTGGGATCGGGGCGGGATAACCCTCCCTGACCCCGCCCCGGAGGGGCGGGGTCATGGAGGGTTATCCCGCCTCGATCCCAGCGATTTGGTCGGCTTGAGGAGGGAGGGGGTTGGGGGTGTTTGAAGGTGTTCAGGGGGGTGTTTTGGGGTGTTCCTGCCCCCCCCCAGCTCGGTGTTATCCCGGTTTTCCAGCAGGGATCCTCAGGCAGCTCCGTGCCCGTGGCACTGGCCGTGGTGGCCGCGCTCGTGGTCACGGCGGTGGCCGGGGCTGTGCTGGTCAAGAGATACGTCTGTGGGGG